TGCCATGGCGCAGAGCCATAGTCCCCCAGCACCACCTTCTGAGACCGGCCATTGAGATAGGAGCGGAACCACTGCAAAGCAGTGCCTCCAACCCCCAATCCCGCAATCCTGCAGAAGGATACCATGGTCGATGGTATCGAAAGCCACTGAGAGGTCCAGGAGAACCAACAGGGATGCACTCCCCCTGTCCTTCTCCCTGTACAGGTCATCGTACAGGGCGACCAAGGCAGATTCAGTACCATACCCGGGTCTGAAGCCGGACTGAAATGGGTCCAGATAATCAGTTTCATCCAAGAGTGCTTGGAGTTGTCCCGCCACCACCCGCTCTAACACCTTGCCCAGAAACGGGATGTTGGCCACTGGTCTATAATTAGTGGCCATCGCTGGATCCAGTGACGCCTTCTTCAGGACCGGTCAGACTACCGCCTCCTTTAAAGGGGCAGGCACCCGACCCTCCCTCAGAGAAGCGTTGACCACTTCCAAGATCCAGGTCCCAATCCCGTGCTTGGAATTATTTATTAACCAAGACAGGCAAGGGTCCAAAAGGCAAGTGGTGGGACATACTCGTCCAAGCACCTTGTCCACATCATCGGGCCGCAGTAACTGAAATTCATCCAATAAATCTGGACCAGACGGCAGCGTTGGTGTCTCCCTTAAAACCTCTGAATCAATAGTGGAATCCAGCTCGTGACGAATCTGAGCGATTTTCTCCCTGAATTGCCTGGCAAAGTCGTCACAGCGGGCCTTTGAGGGTGGAACCAGGTCTTCTTTCGGACCTGGACGAACCAAGCCTTGCACCACTCGAAAGAGCTCCGCGGCATTGTGAGGAGGCAATGGAAGCGGAAAAAAATCTCTTTTTCGCCACCCTCACCGCCACAGCATAGGCCCGATAGTGGGCTCTCAAGCGTGTTCGGTCAGATTCATCCTGTGATTTCCTCCACCTACACTCTAGCCGTCTCCCAACCTGCTTCATCGCCCTCAGTTCAGGAGTATACCAAGGGGAAGAGCGGGCTCTGCCCGGTGGGAGAGGACGCTTAGGAGCGATCATGTCTACAGCCCTGGTCATCTCCCCGTTCCATGGTTCGACTAGAGCCTCGACAGGAGCACCCGTCTTGTCAGCCGGAAACTCCCCCAGGGCCTTCAGGAATCCTTCTGGATCCATCCGGCTCCGGGGGCGGACCCACACAATATCAGATGAAACGTCTTCAATTCTCCGTACCACAGTGTTACGAGCCAGGCAAACATTGGCAAACTCTTGCTTCTTCTCAGGACAAATTTTCTCCACCATTTTCATCACGCAGTCTTTAATAAATTCACCCTCAGTAAAAGGTTTGCAGTGCTTGGCAATCAGCGTTGCCACCTCGTAGCTCGCCTTTGTGGCATTTTCATTTGACTCACGGGCTCTTGTGAAAAAGTGCTGCTGTGCCGTTAAAGCAGATTCCAGTTCCTTCAATTTTTCACCACGTTCGTTCCCAGTTAGCTTGTTGTAGTTAGCATGTTTCGTCTGGTAGTGCCTCTTGATAATGAATTCCTTGAAAACAGCCACAGTCTCTTGGCAAATTAGGCAGACACAGTTGTTTCGTATTTCAGTGAAAAAATGCTCCAATTTGCACTTGTCCTGGAAGCGGGCCCTCACTGTCAACTTTCCTTTTCTTAGTTACAGTCTCCATTTTAGAAATGGGCACACAAGCCTTGTGTCACAAGGGTCACGCGGCGAGAGTGCTGACTCAGGTCTACTGCCATCCTCTGGTGAAATATAACCACCAGCCTTGAAGGAGCAGGAGGCAGCAGGGGACAGCTGCGGGAACCGCTGTGCGGTGAAGGGAAAAACGCCAGCCGGTGGGGATGAGTGACAGGCTGAACCGGCGGGGAGAAGAGGCTGTGGGCCGCTCGAAATTTGAAAACAGGCCGCAATTGGCCCCCGGGCCGGACTTTGGACATGCCTGGTCTAACCCAAAGACCTTTCCAGCCTAGCAAAGATGACTTGACATGCACACGACTCTTCTGAAGCATGGAGACATGCACTGCAATGCTGTAATGTCTCAGGTGGCGACAGAAGCACATTTCCTGTGACCTAAGCCACTCAACACTCCAAACCTATATTGGTTTTGTACCATTTTAACTGGCCTAAGATCTCCTGCCCAAACAAGTCAGAGAATTGTAGCTTGCTACTGGTACTCCTTGCTCACGGCAGTTCCCAGGTTCTACTAGGAAATGGAAGGGAATGATTTTTGAACCAATGTGTAGTGTAGATGCTCCCTTACTGGCATGGTGCTAAGAAGGCCTTCTCAGGGGTGCCATCTTTGAACTTCAGTAGTCAGAGGTCAAAGACGTACCTTTCTGCCCAGGTAGTATGTCGTAACAGTACTTGCTGTCATTGCATTTTAATACTTTAGTATAGGTGATTAACCACGTGTGATCCATACATGGGCATTGTGGTTGTGTTAGGATGCTCTCCTAAAATGGTGCATCTTTCACACCAACCTTCCTCAACCTGGTGCCTCCAGATGTTTTACACTTCAAGCTTCAGGGGGAAGGCTGGTTGAGAAAGGCTGTCCTATATTGCTTCCAAAGAATTTCAAACTTCATTTCTTTGGAGGCAACCAGAAGCCCTGCTCCTTCCCCCACAGGGATGTCAGAGCTGGAACAGGCCTTCCATCGGTTTGCTGTATATGGAGACACAGCTGCCACCGGCAAAGATATGACAGGCAAGAACTTCTCCAAGATGTTGAAGGAGTGCGGTGTGATGGATGGGAAGGCCGTGACCAGCACCGATGTGGACATTGTCTTCAACAAAGTCAAGTAAGCTGGAGCAGAGTGGTGTGTGCATGGGTAGGTTTGGACAGGTGTGTTACAACCAGGGCTTCTGGGGTGGTACCCCATTGCTGATTTTGTGGTCTCTTTGGAAAACAGTTTGACAAGCCATGCAGTTTAGTCTTTATTAATGCTGTGAGGGAGATCCCTTCCATGGCCATTTTGTAGCAACTTGGCAGGAAACTGATGACCACAATTGTACACAACTGAGTCTAAGTCTACCTATAAAGTGAAAGGAGGTAGTAAGAGTTCTGATTTGTCCCATCCCAGCTGAGGCATTGCTTCTTCTTTCATCATTGGCTCTGTGTGAGTTAAAAACAACACTCCCTGCAAGGAGAGAACCAGCACTTCAGTGAGATCATTGAGGTAGAATGTTCCTCACTTCTGTGTGAGTTTCTACATCCAGGGAGTTGGAGATGGATTGAGTTATGCTTTTGCTTGCCTTTTTTACACGAGGATGCCTATATTCCCGTTCACCACTGTTAAATGTCGCAGTCCTCTTCAAGACTTCTTGAATGGGTGATTATGAGGGAGGAGGCGGATTCAACTGAGGGTCCATCCCAGTGCTGAGCTCAGAGATGTCTTTCTGTATCCCCAGGAGCAAGGGTGCCCGTAACATCACATTTCTAGAGTTCAAAGAAGCCATCAAGGAACTAAGTGCTAAACGCTTTAAGGGGAAGTCCCCTGAGGAGGCACTGGAGGCCACAAACAAACTGATGGAAGGCAAGGAGCCAGGCAATGTGGGGGCCACGGTGAGTCTCTTCCTCAAAGGCCGCATTTTCACCTCCACCCCAAGACAGTACACAAATCAATGTAGAAAAGCTGGTGGAATCTTTTGAACAAAGATTCCCAAGGGTGAGTGCCAAGGAACCATCCCCAAATTCTTTGCAAGATGAAATGCAATGGCCTTCCTCAGCCTAGCGCCCCCTAGGGGTCTTGCCCCATGGCTGACTGGGAGGGGGCTGTACATTATAATTCCACATATCTGCGATGCATCAAGTTGCTCAAGGTGACCTTGTGGGATGGGTTAGTACGATTTGTGCAGGGCCAGAGTCCACAGCACTGCAGGACCTACTGCTGATGCCTGTCTTGCCCTGCCACACATTTTGTTTTCCTTGATTTTCTACTCCAAACATTGCACAATGGCTGGACATAACCACCCTTTCATTTCCCACACCACTCCTGATCTAGTGTCATGCTGGGGCAAGGAAATCTGGTGTTGCCTGGAGATTAAATGGGTGGCTAGAGCCAGTCGCCCTGGGCAACTGGAGCTGTTGCTACTGCACCGGGGAAGCTTGTCCTGTGGCTGGGGAAGCTGTGGCAAGAAGGCACTTTCCTCAGCCCCCCTCCCCATGCAAGTTGGCCTTGTATCTGCATATTCATCTTTCTATGACAGCAGCATTAAATCAGTATGGTTCAGAAAGAGCATTAAAATGGTATGCAATGTACTGTACTGCACTTCTAGGGGAATTCAGCTTCTTGATCAGATTCCATTAATTAAGCAATGCAAACTGTTCCTAATTTGTAAAAGAATGTACAGGGGATGTACAGGGGATTATAATATAGAATCTAACGTAGAATCTCCCCTGTATAAAACCTGGCATCCTGGTTTATTGAGAGCTAAGCAACCCAGAGTCTGAACCCAGAATTTGTTAGTTGATTTAAACTCTGGGTTGTTTAATTCTGTGTCCCAGAGTGTTGGGATCAGATGTCAAGATTAACAACCTCAGAAGAAGGGATGTTTTGCAAAGCAGGCTATGGTTTTCCTAGTTGCAATATATGGCTGTGAAAGCTGGACCATAAGGAAGGCTGAGCGCCGAAGGATTGAGGGCTTTGAATTGTGGTGCTGGAGGAGACTCCTGCGAGTCCCATGGACTGCAAGGCGATCAAACCAGTCAGTCCTAGAGGAGATCAACCCTGACTGCTCTTTAGAAGGCCATATCCTGAAGATGAAACTCAAATTTTTTGGCCACCTAATGAGAAGGAAAGACTCCCTGGAGAAGAGCCTAATGCTGGGAACAATAGATGGCAAAAGAAGAAGGGGACGGCAGAGAATGAGGTGGCTAGATGGAGTCACTGAAGCAGTTGGTGTGAGCTTGAGTGGACTCCAGGGGTTGGTGGAAGACAGGAAGGCCTGGAGGAATGTTGTCCATGGGGTCGCGATGGGTCGGACACAACTTTGCGATTAACAACAACAACAACAACAACAAATGGCATACTATTACTATTGCTATTTATTATTATTACACATTTATACTGCCCATAGCTTACTGGGCTCCCTGGAAGGTTTACAGACTTAAAAATATACATAGGAACAACAAAATAAAAACGTGATGTCCAGTGGTGGGACATCGCATGCTCCTCAACCTGCAACTTAATGATGGGAGGCCTGGATTCTCTCTCCTTCCTCCCACAAAGGACTCGCCAGCAAACTTTCCTTAAGCAGCCTGCTGAGTGATAGAGGGCTGCATCTCTCCATGCTGCCTACAGAATTCAAGCAGGCTAGCTCTGTAGTTGCTCTCCATCTTTGGAACTCGCTCCCCAAGGAGACACGCCAGGTGCCATCACCGCTCTCCTTTTGGCATCAGGTGAAAACTTTATTTCACAGATTTTTTGGTAATTATCTGGTTTTAACATGTTTCATTGGTGCTGCTGCTGCCTTTCTGTGACCTTTTGACCACTGGGTTGTATTTAAATATTTAATTATGTTAAAATTTTGACCTTTGATTTTAAAATTTTTGATTTGATTGCTTTTACATTTTTTAATGTTTGCTTATTATCTTTACTGTTTTATTGTTTTACTAGATTTTAGCATTCTAACTGTTGTCTTATTGTTTGCTATTACTTTATTGTGAGCCACTCAGAGAGCCTTGTGGGGTATGGGGTGGCATATAAATGCAATAAATGAACAAACAACCCCCTTCAACATAGGCCTTTTCTTTTCTGTACAGTCAGGGAATGCATGCCCCAGACTCTGAAAATGGCCCAGACAAAAACCAACCCAACCCATACCCCACTGTAACCTCCGCTCCTACTGACTTGCAGCTTTCTTATCTTGCAGAGATCTGTCCATACTGGTGCGGTAGACAGACTGACAGACACCAGCAAATACACAGGCTCTCACAAGGAGCGCTTTGACGAAAGTGGCAAGGGCAAGGGCATGGCTGGGCGCGCTGACCTGGTTGAGAACAGTGGATATGTTGGGGCCTACAAGGGCTCTGGAACTTATGACAAGACCCACTAGGAGTCCTCTCAGAACCTGCCTGTTCTCCTGGTCCCTGGAAAGGGAGGCCAATAAACAGCTGCTCTGATTCCTTGCCTTTTTGTGTGTGTTTCTGGCATCTGAAAGATTTCGGCTTCCTCCCCTGATCTGGAAGGCCCTGTCAACTGGGCATCTCCGAGGCATTTTGGGAGCCATCATAGTTCTGAACGTACTGCCTCTTGCTGGTGCTCTCCATGATTTTGTCTTCCCCCGGGGCTCTCCTGTGCTTTCCAAGCATTTATGTGGCTTCTTTTAGACCAAAGAAAATGTCGTATTCTTAAAAGCGGCAGGATGAACTGGCATTCAATAGCTCATGTATTTTCATGATTCTGCTATAACACTGTGGTTGCAGAATGGAATGTATAGAAAGGCAGAGAAAGCCCCTGAAAAAGTGTGGAAAAATGTGTAAAGGGTTGATCTTAATCCTGCAAAACATCTGGAATTATAACCCTCAGTAAAATGGAAGGTTAAAAGCCTCACATACAGATGCTGGCTATCCTGACCACTAGAGCAAGGAAAACATCTTAATAGTGGTGCTCGTTTCCTTTAATTGCTGAAAGGCAAAGAAAGGGAGAAGCTTCATATTGGCACTTGGTGTGAAGTCTTGGGTCTACTTTGCTTGCATGGTCTAATCAAGGCATCCTTTTCTTAGCTTGCTGGCAAGAGAAGTAAAACTGAACCCTCCCTCTTTGCCAGCCTTTAGCTCTCAGCTTGTCTAGTAGACATGTGAGCTATTAAAAGACTGACGGTGCGATCTTGCCATATTCTAAAGAGGTGAGCCCTGCTGAGTTCAGGGAGAGGTATTCCCAGGGAAGGATGTGTAGGACTGCCACTTTAAAGGCCACAGCCTGACACTTCAGTGGCAGCTACCACGAAGCAGAGCCAGGCAAGGCTCTCCTACCAAATGGCTTCCTCTGAACGTTTGTGTGCAAGTACATCTATGGGCTGGTGTGGCAAAGTGGCAGGGGTCAATATGGATGGGTGGTTCTATGCACACCCAGGGCCTAGGGAGTGAACAGAGGGATGGCCACACATATTAGAACCATCCTTGGGACTTGCTTGAACTTGTGGAGGCCTTGTACGTTACTTTCCATGGGCAAACAATCTGTTGGACGGCATCCTAATGAGGTTAGTGTAACATGAGCTTCTGCACGCAAGAGGGGAAGTCTAGCATAGAAATTAATTGGGCAAGGGGGGGTCCCTGGGTGCTCTTGGAATCTGCTTGTTCCCCTTGAACTGCTGGAAAGCAAGCAGGAATTTCATTCTGTACCTTTGTGGTGACAAGACATTCCATTTTGTCCTTTGGCTGATAGACTACAAGTAGATGTGTTGTTATGTTGTAATCATTCAGTTGGTGAAAGGCAGGATAGAAGTGTTTTACGTAAACAATACATTAATAGTTAGATGAATGATCAAGCTTTTCACAGTTCCATCATTCCAGTATGCAACTACCACAAAATCCTATGGAAAAAGAAGCAACGGCTATGCCAGCCATTCAGCCTCCCAAGTGTGGATCAATGGGCAAGAAGCAAGTGACA